AGGGCAGGAGAAGAAATTCCAGACATGAAGGAATGGCAGTAATTCAACCCGGTTGGGTGGATGCCAGGAACGCATATAACCAAAGTCAACACAAGATAAACTCACTTTTGTTCCCAGCAGCTGCCGCACTCAGCTTGCATCTCTTTTAAACTCTCATTCCCAGGTGTGGCTAATGAAGGGAATCAGGGCCCTTTCCTTCCCCATAAGCCACGCAACACACATTGCTCCCTTCTCCGTTCCTGCCCTAGGATGAAGAGTGGGTGTGCCTGGGTCTTCCTCTGAACCCCCTCTCCCTTGTTCTACCTCTTCCCTGCTCTGCCCAGCCGGACTTTGCCCTTCCCCAGTTTCCTCCACAGCCAATGAAGCCACACTCCCACTCCCTGTCAGCTGTTTGTCTTCCTCCTTGGATTCAGACTTCGACAGGGGCATGACACAAGCTGGGAATACTAGCTAGCACATCTGGAAGGGAGTTTTTTTTGGGGGGGGGGATTATCAATAGTGGAGCCATGATGATGCAGTGGCTAGAATGCAGTATTGCAGGGTGACACTGCCAGCTGCCAGCAGGTCGATTTTCACCAGCTCAAGGTTGACTCAGCCTTCCATTCCTCCGAGGTTGGTAAAATGACCTATTGTCATTTTGCGATCGTCTAACAAGCGAAGTTGATGGGGAAGCCAGGTTCACTTTACAACTGTGTTCCTAACTTCGGTGATTCACTTAGCAATGGAGACAAAGGTCAGAAAATGGGGAAAAATTCATTAATAAATGTCTCAGTGCCAGAAATTTGGGCTCAATTGTGGTCATAAGTCTAGAACAAGGGTCTTCAAAACTTGGCAAGTTTAAGACTTGTGGACTTCAACTCCCAGAATTCCTGAGCTAACATGACTGGAGGAGGAATTCTGGAAGTCCACAAGGTTTAAAGCTGTCAAGTTTGAAGACCCCTGGTTAGAACTACCTGTGAGGGCACTAATTCAAGAGCTCTACATTTTCTTGACTCTAAACCAGGGGTCCGCAAACTTGGCAACTTTTAAGACTTGTGGACTTCAACTTCCAGAATTCTCCAGCCAGCTATTCTGGGAATTGAAGTCCACAAGTCTTAAAGTTGCAGTTTGGAGACCCCTGCTCTAAATATTTACCAAAACTGCTCAAGCAGTTTTTCTCACATCAATATTTCAAAAAGCTTCAGCTTTTCAAATTGTACCAATTATTTTGGTAGAATTCCGTTCCTTTGTTATAAGTTTCAAAAGTATTAGAAGTATTTAATACAAAAGTATTCAAAGTATTACATTAGATACACCCGTTGCAAGTACTAACAGCTGCACTTATATATTAAAATTAAGTTATCAAAGATAGATTAATGATTTGGAAGTAGGAATCCCAATATTATTTGACCTCGGTTGCTGATTTGCTTCGTTTGGGCTGCTGTAAAGGAGGAACAAAACCTAAAAGGGGACAAGAGTGAACAACTTTTGCATTGTTGCCAGGATCTGCCCTTTAAATTAGCAGTTGAGGTCTACTTGCAGGAGACTGCACTAATCTGAGAGATGGCTATGATTTTGGGCATTAATTGTTGCATTTCCAGATTATTGCAGACTCCAAAACTTCTCCGGTTTCTCTCTCTCTCTCTCTCTCTCCCCTGCCAGAAAAACTACAAGTGGGAGGGGCTTCTGCCTGCCGGAAGAGCATGACGTGACATGCGTTGATTGGCTGGCTCGCTCTTCCCTCACAGCCTGTTAGCTCCCGCCTCTCCGAAGGCGGGACAGCCGAACTTGATAGTTTCTTAATTCTCTTGCGTCAATCCCAGAGGGGGGGGGGGAATTGCCCAATCAGACAAGGGAATCGGGCGGCGGAGGCGGGACGTCGCCAAGGCTCCGGGTTTGGTGTCGGCAAGACGAGACCCAGAGCGGCCGGGTTCGGTTGCACGATCGGGCCCGGAGGAAGCGGCCATGGCGGCGGGGCGGGTTCCACTCACTTCCGCCCGAGGCGGCCGCCGCTGAGAGGGAAGAGGAAAACGGCCGGGCTCGCGGGACAGGCATGGCGGGGGTCCGGCGGCTCCGGCCGCTGCTCGGTTTCTGGCTGCTGGCCGCGGCCTTGGCGGCCCCCGAGCAAGAAGTCGGCCGCGAGCGAGACTTCCCGCCTCACCAGGAGCAGCAGAAGCCGCCGCCGGCGCCGCACCAGCAGCCGGCGGTGCAAGGGCCGGACCTCCTCCGGGCTGAGGTGAGCGGAGGGAGGCGGAGGCGACGGCCCCGCTGGCCGGCTTGAGAAGTGGGGCTGGACGAGCATCGGGCCCGGGGAGGGAAAAGCTCCGGCCGACGTCGCTTCTCCTTTCCGGCCCTTCAAGTCTCCGCCCTGGGGCAAAACGTGGCCGGGTGAAGGGAGGGATGGGAGGTCGCGACAGGTGCGATTCCTACGTGCATACAGGCACACGAGGGAGGCCTCGGCATGCATACATATATACACAAACGCAACATACGTGTACACACACACACGAGGGAGTCCTCAACATACATACGCATAAATATACACACACAGACACCGATGGCCTCAACATACATACATGCATACATACATACACACACACAATATACATTCGTATATACACACATGAGGGAGTCCTCAACATACACACACACACAGACACACACAAACATGGGTGTCCTCAAGATACATGCATACATATACATACATGTATATTCACACACGGAGTCCTCAGCACACATACGCATACACGCACACACACATGGATGTCGTCAACATACATATATACACGCATACAATATACATTCGTGTATATACACACATGAGGCAGTCCTCAACATACACTTATACATACACACACATATATATACACACACAAACCTGCGTGTCCTCAACATACATGCATACATATACATACATGTATATTCACACACGGAGTCCTCAACACACATACACAGATACACACACACACACACAGATGTCCTCAACATACATCTGTATATATACATACATACATACATACATACATACATATATGCATATATGAGGGAGTCCTCATATGAGGGAGTCCTCAACATACACTTAACCTACATACACACACACAGACACACGGGTGTCCTCAACATACATACATACATATACTCACATGAGGAAGTCCTCAACACACACATGCACACCTGTATTTATACACACATATACACACACATGGATGTCCTCAACATACATACACATACATATATTCACACGTGGGAGTCCAACATACATACATACACATACATACACACACATACACACAGCAACCGTCATGAATATGAGTCAGTTGCCAAAGGACTGAATTTTGATCCCGTGACCATGAGGATGCTGCAACGGTCATAAGTGTGGGAAACGGTCATAAGTCCCTTTTTCAGGGCTGCTGTAACTTTGAACCATCACTAAATGAACTTGTTGTCAGTCGAGGACTCCCTGTGGTCCCTTTTCTAGGCTAAGGCAAGAGGCTGGACCTGAAATAGAGGGGGAAGGTAGGGCTACCTAAGAGACGAACCACATGAAGGGAGGAGCGAAGGAATCTAACCGGATTTAACCCTGACTGCATTTGCCTGATGAGCCCACCGCATTACCAGGGACTTTGCTCACCCGTTTTCTCGCTTCCCATAATACATCCAGCCATCCAGAGACTCAAAAGGGGGCTTGGCAAAACACGCTATGAGCCAATTGCCAAGCATCTGAATTTGGGGAATGCTGAAATGGGCCCAAGGGTGAAAAAAACGGTCCTGAGTCCGTGCCGTTGTAACTTTGAATGGTCACTAAATGAACTGTTGTAAAGTCAACTTAGGACCACAATTGAGCCCAAAATTTATGTTGCTGAGTGAGGGAATGAAGTGAATTTGGGTCCCCTTTTCTTGCCACATTGTTTAAGTGAGTCAGTGCAGCCGTCATAAATGTCAGCCAGTTGTCAAGCTCCTGAATATAAATCATGTCACCATGGGAATGCTGCAGCGGTCGTAAGTGTGAAAAACGGTCATATGGTAAGTCAAGGACTACCTGTACATACTTGCTCCTGTCCCACAAGTTCTGTGGGTTGTACAGGTGGCCCCTGACATACGACAGTTCGTTTGAAGTTACAGCTCAGTTACAGTGCATTGAAAAAAGTGACTTATGATCATTTTTCACACGACCGTTGCAACACCCACATGGTCAAATTTCGGCTGCTTGGCCACTACTTCATATTTATGACCGTTGCAGTGTCTCAAGATCATTGATCTTTTTGCAGCCTTCTGAAAAGCAGAGTGAATGGGAAGCCGGATTCCTTTAACAGCTGTTTTAGTAACTTTTAACAGCTGCCCTGTTTAACACCTGGGGCAAGAAAGATCATTAAATGGGACAAAACTCAACAAATGTCTCACTTAGCAACCACAATTTTGGGCTCAATTGTCGTAAGTCAAGGGCTACCGGTAATGCCCGCATTTCATTTTCTTAAATGCCTCATCTCGTAGAAATTGTAGGACGTTGCAAAGAAGAGAGTCCTGCTGGATCTTGGAAGGGCGGGGGGGGGGAAACAGAAGTCTGGCATTGTATCCCACTAAGAGCATTTTATTAATATGCCTCAGCTTTCCTTTATCCATATGACACATGGTGAGCTCATTTTATATACCAATCTGACCAATGTGCTATTGGCGAGCTGCAGACAACAGCAGTATTAGTAATTGATGGTTCACATCTTGCTAAAATTAAATTTATTTTACACCTTGTCTATTGGAAGAAAGTGATACAGGCTCACTAGGTACAGTTAAACTGTCTACTATGTAACTTAACCGCTATTAGTTTAATTTGGTTGATTTGGAAATAGGATATTGCCAAATTGCACAGTCAGTTAGCTCGCATGTTACAGATCATAGTGACATTTCAGCAAAGCGTTTTCAAGGTCTTGAAAAGTAAATATATTTAAGTGATTTGATTTGATCATTGCAGTTGGATAATGACCGTTCAAATTGTGTTACAATTTTTTTTTTAAGTTACTGTTACAAAATCCTAAACTTGCATGATAGTTTCCGAGCATGAAATCACAATAATTTGTCATTTTATGAATATGCAGCCCATTGGTTTAACCCGTATATTTTAATTGTTTCTCCAAACAGACTATAAATTTACAGTTACATATCCATTTTTTTAATCCTTTCAGTTGTGCTGAATTAAGCATCTTGCCATAATGCCTATATAGCGTTGACTGCTCAGCAGTTCTTGGAACACGATTTTGTAATCATAATCAGATAGAAAACGGTTCTGTTCATTCGTGCATTGTTTAATCAGAATTCATGAGAAGTTCTAAACTATCAAAAGGTGACTGCCCTCGAATGTCCTGGCTATAGATTATTAATTGAAGTTTACCATTGCTTAAACAAAAAGGAATGACTAACCAGCAATTTTTAATATTTAGTAAACAACCCATGACTCCTTGGTTCCTCTTTTCAGAGATATTTCCTTACCAAATGCCTTCAACAATAAGTCCTTAAAAATTCAGGGAGATATTCACAGATGCATCTACCTTAAAAGTAGCCAAGTAGTATTGTATAACATAAACATCAGGAATTGACCATAGGAAATGTTTTATTACATTTTGTTTTGTCATAAAATACTTTATAATAATTCTTACATGATAAACTGTTTTATAAAAATTGCCAAATTTCAATTCCATGGAAGTCTTGGGTCCCAAAATTTGGACACAATCTGTAAATTCGAGCTGTCAAAGTATCTGGGTAGGAAAAGCTTGCCCCATAATGGACCATTTCGCTTAATTAAAAGTTACAAGACACAGAGTTTTAGCAGTATGCAGATTCTCAAATAATAGCAAGAGTGTCTTCTTTAAAAAGGACTGATTTTATAGTCTGGGGATAGTTTTTTCTTCAGAAATAAAATGTGAATTAAAGTTTCATGCACTTTTCATCTACAAGCTACTGTTTCATGATACACTAAATCTTCAAAGAGCAGACAAGGTGAAACACGTTGGATGTATTTGCATAATAAAATCAGCTTTTATTCCTGAACTGATAGCATCTGGTTGGAAAAATTTGAGACAAACAAGAACTAGCTTTCTTTGTGATCTACAACAATATAGCTATATTGGTAATAAAAGAAAAACACTTAACTTGTCAACAATCAGTAAAAGTGAAGATTTGAAATATCGTGAAACAATATCTAGCTTGTAGATGAACATGCATGAAACTTAGAGTCACATTTCATTTCTGAAGACAAAATTATTTTGGGACTATAAAATCAGTACTTTTTTTTTTTTTTAAAAAAGATACACTCGCTATTATTTGGTAATTTCACTTATTTAAAAATAGAACTTGCAGCTACTTTACTTAGAATTCTATTTCTAGAATAGTATTTTCCAGAATGATATTCTAAAAATACAGTTGTATTTTAATCTCTGTGTTAAGATATGTATTTAGCAGATGTATTCAAAAAGAACATGTAAGTAATCCTTTAACTCAATAACCATTTGTTTAGTGGCTGTTCAAAATTAAAATGGACCTGAAAAAAATGACTTACACTCACAACACTCACTTAACAACTGTTTTGCTTAGCAACAAATTTTTTTTACTCAGTTGTGGTCAAAAGTCAAGGTATATACTACCTTTAAACAGTGAGATAGTAACTCTGATTGAGAAGGTCAACAGATAGAATAGTATTATATTGATCTCAGTTCTGGTGACAGTTTAGATATGACTTTTCCTTAGAATCCCAGCTACCTGGAAGAAAGTACTTGGCTTGAAATTGTTTTATTCATTCGTTGGTCTGGTCTGCCATTGCTCTTTTTGGAGCAGTGTCTGGAAAAGGGTGGTTTTGATTGTGAAGCTTCTTTAAGGAGATGCATGAAATGCCTCTGGCTTAATTCCCCCTATTTAAACAAGTTTCTCATTTTACTTTATGAAACTGCTTTTATGAAACCTTTACTGTCTTGGTTACAGTCGTTATTGCTTGTTATGAACGTTTTTATTGTATATAGTCACAAACCGAGGATTGTCAAGGTCAGGGAATCCCAACCTTTTCTATACTTCTGATATGTTCTTGCACCCCTTACAAAAATAAATAATGATATGCATGTGTATATAGACTATAATTTTGTGATTTCAGGAGGTGTGAGGAGTCCTGGGTGGGAACCCCTGGTCTAGGTGATATAATATCATAACAGCTAGAAATGGCCATTTAAGGCATATAATTCTCTGGTCAATAAAGTGAATCTTGACATATAGTTCCACTGATGAACTGCTCTTACTGCTGGGAGTTTTGTTCTTGATATTTAATAGAATTACTTTTCTATTATGCTAAGTCCTATATTTTGGAACAACAGTAGATTTTGAAGAAATACTGTGTGACATATTCAGGTACTTAAATATAACTATTGTATCCGCTTTCTGTATTTTTTTCTCAAGACTACACATAGTTAATTCCTTCAAATATGCCTCCTAAATAATTGTTAGTATGATGAATTAAAATATGTAGAAATTTGTTGGAGTTATTACTATTTATTGTTGAAGAAATGCAGATAAATTGCAGTTACGGGTAAAGTGCCCTAACAATAAAATATGAAAAATAGAATGCCAATGAGTCAACATCTAAAGTTCAAATCATTTTCATACTTTGGTTTCAGCAAGGATAAATAAAAACCTTGATGAAACAGTTTACATTAAATACCAAGGACAATAGGTGATCATGAGATGCTTGTTTTATAATATATTAAATTAGGGTGCTACCTGACTCTCGGTGACTTTGGGCAGCACACAAGTTTGTGCTTAAAAAATTTCAGTTCTTTAAGGAGGTATTGCATATACTCTCAGCTGTGTTCCTCTCTAGACAAGTTGAACTGGGTGGTTTATTTTGGCACTTAAACTTCTTGGCTTATTCATAAGATAAGTAAAGAATTTGTAGGGCCCTTTGACATAACTATCCAATGGATTGCATTTTTCTTATGTATTGACATGATAAGGAACTGGTTTCCTTAAAACCTGGAATAAAAAAAAACATGTTTTTTTTCTTTTCAGAAAGGACCAACCCTCCTCGTCCCCGTCCATTCTGTGAGTGAAGAGTCCTCAGATAAAACTAACCTAGGATTTATCCATGCTTTCGTGGCTGCAATTTCGGTCATCATTGTTTCAGAACTGGGCGATAAAACCTTCTTCATTGCTGCTATTATGGCAATGCGTTACAACCGCTTAACAGTGCTGGCTGGTGCCATGCTAGCCTTAGGGCTGATGACGTGTCTATCTGGTTAGTGCTTTTGTCTTTCATTTCCTGGAGCGTAGTGAAAACGTGGTACACGTACTATAGGTGGGAGAGAATAAGGGACATGCGAAAAGCCTCAGTGGTGAAAATGTCCAGTTATAAACTACGTTGTTTCGTTTTATCAGAAATGGCCATTCTGACATCATGGGAAGCGTTGGAACACTTTTGTTTGGAATTTGAAGTATTTTGCGCTCCTTTAGAGCAGGGGTCTCCAACCTTGGCAACTTTAAGACTTATGGACTTCAACTTCCAGAATTCCTCAGCCAACTATGCTATGCTGGCTGAGGAATTCTGGGAGTTAAAGTCCACAAGTCTTAAAGTTGCCAAGGTTGGAGACGCCTGCTTTAGGGGAGCCCTTCTGGTAATAGGAAGGCACTAGAGGCCATACTTTTTCTGGTGTTGAAGAAAAATTTTGAGTAGCCATTTGCCTTTTGTTTTTGTTTTTATATTAGCTTTAATTGTTTTCTTTTTACTTGTACGTCACCTAAAGTCTGCATCATCTGAGCAATCTAAAAATGTTATGTAATAAAATAAACTATCTTCTCTATGCCCTATTCATAGAACTTTAGATTAGGATTACTGCAAATTAGGTAGAAATATTTTGCCTATTGTAAAGATCTATATCAATATCTATATCATCTATATCAACTTTTTTTTTTGAAAAAATCGTCTGGATTTCAGCTAGGTAAAAATGTGGGAAATAATATTGTATCTTAATGTTATATTACTATACAATTTGGGAAATAATATTGTATATAATATAGCAATGTACATTAATTCCATGGAATTAATATATGCAGGACTTCCTGAAATTTTTTAAAAAGTGCTTAGTAGAAATTAACTATGTCTGCTTCATGGAAAACCTAAACTATTTGCTTTTCTCTTCGTAGTTTTATTTGGTTACGCTACCACAGTAATTCCCAGAATATATACCTACTACGTGTCAACCGCGCTCTTTGCCATTTTTGGTATCCGGATGCTTCGAGAAGGTTTAAAGATGAACGCAGATGAAGGTCAGGAAGAATTAGAGGAAGTTCAAGCAGAACTCAAAAAGAAAGATGAGGAAGTAAGTTAAAGTACATAACAGTGTTTCTCGACCTTGGCCATTGTTGAGATGTGTAGACGTCAGCTCCCAGAATTCTCCAGCCAGCATGCTTGATTAGAAACTATTGGATTGGTATTTGGTCATTACTTCTTAAATGAAATTCTTCACAAGTACCTATTTGGTACTTAATGATATGAAGGCTGTGCAGAGATCCAGCCTGAAGAAGGAAAGGTGATTCAAAGGGCACCAATCACTACTACCTCCTTAAAATCAAATGTGCCTTGTGCCATGTTGGTCCAGGAAAAGAAATGGACGTCTGTCGACATTTGAAATTCTGATTTCCTTGCACATTTGGAATCACTTTTTCTCCCTTGAATCCAAATTGCTGCATAAGATCACTAAATTAGGGATGGAAATGAGTTACCAGATACCACTGAGTTACAACTCAAAATACCCTAGGAATCTTGACTAGTGCTAGGAGCTATTGAATCTGTAGTTAGGTAATTTCTAAAGACCCACCTATTGTTTCTTATAGGATTACCTGCATGGATGTCCAAAATTAGACCTGGACCAGCCTTATTAAGATATCCATTTATGGACATTTTTGTTGGTATTTTTATTGTCAATATATGCCAGTCTATGACCATAAGATTTGATGTCATATATTATCGATATAGTATTGCAACACTTCAGTGTCAGAATTGTTCCCATGTATGATTTTTTCTGAAACCAGGATAGTAGACTAGAATTGCCATTCCGTTTTAGAATCGGATTACCCATTCTTTTATATTCAGTGAATGCTCTGCTGCCAGCCAAGGATTGATTGTAAAGGGAGAAATCTTCATAGCCAGCAAAAACCTCAGTATTTAACCACAGTTGCAAACCTAGATTAGTTGCAGCACCTGTCTGATTCCTGCACTCAGCCCTCTTAGGATGAAGTATTGATTATTTAATTGTTAGTTTGCATCTATTTTGTAGATTTACATTGTAAAGCTGACCATTGCTGTGTATCGCTGGTGTTGACTCTTTGGATCTGATTTGTGGTTCCCCAAGTGTTCTAACAGCTGCTGCTTCTCCTAGCTCCAGAGAATGAAACTCCTAAATGGGCCTGGAGATATGGAAGCAGGCACAGGCCCTGCAATACCTCAGAAGAGATGTCTGCATTTTATTTCTCCAATTTTTGTGCAAGCATTCACTTTAACGTTCCTAGCTGAATGGGGTGACCGTTCTCAGTTGACGACCATTGTCCTGGCAGCAAGAGAGGTGAGTCAACTGTATGGGGAATGCGCACGAGGGTCAGAAGTTACGGAGCAAAATGCTCAGGACCTAATTAGGTATAGGTAGATTAAGGTGATGGTTTGAGCCTTAAGCAGCGCCATAAGTCATCTTCCCTTGGGATCTGTCCAGTTTAAAAGGCACCGTTACAACGCATCCTCCGTGGGATGCACTCAATGCAGTTGAGTATCTGAGAAAGGACATTATTTCGCTTATATCTGTGCAGAGAAGTGATGGGACCTGCAGTCATTAGACTGCTTTTGAGACCCAAGCAGGTTTTGATTTAATTAGAATTATTTATTGGCCCAAGTGCGATTAGACACACAAGAAATTTGTCTCCACTGCATAATATATAATTATGCTAATATTAATATTATGTATGTTAAATTGTTGCTTCCATGTAAGTTGCTAGGCACAGCATGGTGAGGAATCACTTTTAGGAGCAACTAAAGCAACTTATATAGGAACTTTTAAAGACCTGGAAGTACAAATCCTGCTATGAAATAGTTGAATGTTTTGGTTTAACATTAACACAGTTTTAATTCATTGCACTTTTATTCTGTCCAATTGGTTAAGTTACATTAGGGGGAAAAATGGTTCCCCTCCTGGTGTTGAGGTGAGCATTTAAACTGAGTAGTTTGTTCCTAGTTTGCTCATATTTTAAAGTGATTGTGGCACTTTCTGTTATCCCAGGAATAACATTCTGGTGGATTCTCTCTGGTCATGAACTAAAGCTGGATGTGGCTGACAGTACATTCCCTGTGTGTTTTTATCTGTTTGCAGCCTTTGAAAGTATTAGTGGCTCCTTTGTAAGCAACTGCTGTAAAAACGTGTAGCTTTTCAAATAGCACTGAAACGTTTTCTATGTGTGACACAGGATCCCTGCGGTGTGGCTGTGGGTGGAACACTTGGGCATAGTTTGTGTACTGGCCTAGCAGTGATTGGAGGAAGAATGATAGCACAAAAAATCTCAGTTCGAACTGGTAAGTTCTGGGCAGGAAAAGAAAACCATCTATTGGCAAACAGAGAAGGAAAATGAGATGTTTTCTAACCAGGAAGAGATTAAAAAAACAGCTTGGTCTGATGATTAAGACACCAGGCTAGAAGGCAGGAGATTGTGAGTTTGAGTCCTGCCTTAGGCATGAAAGCCCTGTGGATGACTTTGAGCCGGTCATTCTCAGCCCTACCAGCCTCACGGGATAGTTGTCAGGAAAATAGGAGTGTTGGATATGAGTTATTTATAAAATCATAAAGGGGACCTCTTTGAATCATGTTCAGTAATTCCAGTCCCAGTTACTTTTATAAGTGGAGGACTATCTCTAATGATAGACTTTTAGTCTCCCTCTTTCCCTGGGAAGGCATGCAAAAATCAATATCATCACTAGCAGTTCTGTAGATTTTGAAAAGCTGATCATTGGACCCACAGTTTAGGCATGCCCAAAGTAACCAATGCATTAAAATAGAGCCATATCCTATCATTTGTTAAGTTAGGGGTTCAAGAAAACTGAAATAGATGAAATCTGTCCATTTAACCATATTCTTTTTAAGTTCATGCTCATTATTTAGAATGGGGGGGGGGGGGTTTGGATGGGGAAGGGAAATAGTCTTTAATCCACAGTCAGTCAGTGTGAACAAGCCTGAGCAGATGCAAACCTGTAATCTTGTCATGGAACTTCCTATAGTGTCTAATTTTCCAAATGGTTCAAGTTCAGTTTTTCAAATGTGTCTCATTTAACCATTTACTGAAATATTTTATTATTTAGTCTTTCTTGATAGGACTATGCAGCAGGAAAAACAAATGAATATTTTCCCCATTTATTTATTGGTTGAAATTATACAACAGCCCATCTCACGTACATGAGTGTGGGTGGCTTATAGGATTAAAATCACACACACACACACACACACATATACAAAAATAACTAAAATCATAACTAAAGACAAAACCTTAAAACCCTAAAAACAATGAAAAACATAAAAAAACATAAAGGGAAGGTACATGTTCCCTATGAAAGCCACCCCCCCAAAATGAGGCCTTTGTATAGTTCAACTTTTGTTGAATTGCACAAAAATCATTTGATGTGGATTTTTTTTCTTAAAGTATATAAACGCTAACTAAAGCTTGCCATTTATAACATCTTGATTCTGACCATGTTGGAAATATGTAGGGTGGGTGTCTTCATTGATTAGGTGCTGGTAAGAAGTAGAGGCATGAAAATTCATGAATGCAAAAAGGAAAAAGCCTTGTGAAATGTTGTCCTTCGTATAGGTTCTAATCACCTTTTTTCTTTTCTTTTACAGTGACCATCATAGGAGGCATTGTTTTCTTAGCATTTGCATTCTCTGCACTATTTATAAGCCCAGATGTTGGATTTTAGCAGGATTTTTCACTCCTTTTCCTTGAAATACAAGAATTAGAACCAGTGATTGCCATTCGGGTTCCTGTATACAATGTACAGCTCCTTATTCAAACAAGCACTGAAGGTGGGATACCGTAATTTTTATAGTAACAATTAGTTTGATATGTTTTGTAGATACAGTCTCTGCCGGACAATTACACGGTCTATATATTTGAGATATGAATAATGTACATTTGCTTACTTATCGACTCAGGTAAACTGAGGTTCAGCTCCTGAAATTTTGCGGAGTTATTTTATTTGCAGATGTCCCAAAAACACTGCTTGAAACCCCCCTTCGATTTTATTTCTCAAGTACATGATTCCATGGTCAGAAATGAAGCGCTCTGCCAACAATTAAGTCATCTATTCAAGACACTGAATGTGGTGGACTTGTGGAAGAATCAGAAAACTTAGATACAGAAATGGTCTCAAATACAGAATCCATCTAGATATTTACAGATCCATTTTTGTATTTTACTGAACATTTGATGCATTTTCAGATTAAAATATTCTTAAAGTGGTCATTGTTTTCTTTTTAGTAAGTATAATAATAATATGGGAAAAAATGGATAAAAACTAGGTACCTCCTATTATAGAAATGCAGTTAAAATGAGTTTTGGTTTCATTCAGAGGAAATAATGTGTACTGTTCAATATTTTATATTTTTAGTGGTTGTACCCATTTCTTTTTACTCCAGTACCATTGATGGATAAATATTTCAGTGATTTCTCTTGATTGCTACTGTTTTTAATTTTAAGCCATGGTGCTTGTCAGTTGTGGAAAAATGTTAATTTGAAACGGGTTCATTGCCACGCGCATTGTTCTAAGCGGTTGTTGTGATTTTGCCTTAGTGTAGGCTCAGACATAAGCTCTGGTCTTTAACTTGGTGTTAGGCAAACCCAGTTAGATGCCACATTTAACAAATCATTGGCTTAGTGTAATTAGTGGATCTCCTACCCAGAAGTATCTGAGGCATAATGTTCTGCTGATAAAGAGGATGTGTTACACCAAGTATGGCACTGCCACAATATGAGGAAACCCCTTTCTCAAATTAAAGCTTTATTCCTAACCAACACTGCAGTAGGAAGGCTCAGGTAATCAAAGGGGAGAATTCCAAATTCCTCCTCCTTTTTGCCCTCAGAAACGGGGGTTCAATCATGTGCCTGGTCCAGGAGAGAATTTAGATGAGCTATTTTGCTGGCCTAAACCAGTATCTTCCCATTGCTTGGAATGGAATTAAGGAAATGGGAAACAGTTCAATTCATGCTGCTCTTATTTTTGATCTGCCAGCAGGATTCTGGATTTGCCAGTTGCTGTCACTGAGCAATATAGATGCCCATCTTGTAGGGGAAAAAAAATCCAGTTTGTATCAAGCTAAAAAGATTGTTTTAAAATAAATTTTTGTAAAGATGTTTTTTTTTTATTGCTTTTATCCTTTCTTTCCTAACTATGAGATTCTTATAGCTAAGCTTAATGTGTGCAGGTATAATTTCTGGATGATTCTGAAGAAGGGTTCATCTTCATGTAGGAGTAAGCTGGGTTTTCACTATTTTCCAGTGTAGGTGCTATTCCTAAAAGAGGGAAGAAAAACCCTTCACTGTTTTTCAGGAGTTTAATCTTTTGTTGTTGTTGTTGTTGCCATTTTACTGAGACTTTAAACGCATTCATCTGTCTTAAAAGCCTTTCCTCCTGTGCCGGCCTGCCTCATGCAGCTTATTTGCTTCCGCATCTCTATGTCCTTATTTTTTCATCATTTCTTCCAGAGGCTGCTCAGTCTTAAGCCAACAGCACCTAGCGGCGTTGTAAAGTGTTGCGAAATCTGAGGCCCCCACGCCTATAGTGACCTGCGTGGAATGGAAATCAAGCCCTCCCAAGGCCTCGGTGGGAGGGAGAGTGAAGCCTGCCGTCCCTGAGATCAACTGGGAGGGAAACTTCGCTCCTTTGGCGGAATCCCTGGTGCTTCTTTTTTTGCCGGTGGTCACAGCAGGGTGCCCTAGAGTCAACAGACGACTCTTCACCTCTTACGCGTGGCCAGATTGCCCAGGGATGCATTTTCAGGCTCCGCTTTGATCTCAGCCGTTATTCTTGCCATTCCTTCTAGAATCATGGAGTGCTGATCTTCCTTCCTGCACAATATAATCATTGTTCACCTAGTTCTGCTGCAGAAAAAGCTACTTTCTGACTCCTTTCTCGGGGCAGAGCAGGTGTTAAAAATCAAAAGTATGCAGTACGATCATCAACCGATAAATAAATAAAGGCTATGCAAGAATTTTCTTTTTAAAAAAACAACAGCCCAGAACTGTATCATTGCAGTGTCACGAACATATTCTTAACACCGTGGAAAGATAATTTAAGCAGATCGTGATCATATGGCAACGCTGAAGCATTTTGATAAGGGCTTAAATTTTTCATGGTAATTCCTTTGATCTGCTTTTTTTACTGCAATGGTCAAGTCATAAGTGATCCCATTCCATCATCAGCTGATTTTTGAGGTTTCTCCAAGCCTTTTGTGTGGGTGTACAAATACTTCAAAATCATTCCAATTTGAAGCTAGATTGAGGGAAAGATGCAATCCAACAGGAGGAAGTTGACACTCTTACTGTATTGTTGGCAACTGGTATTTGTTAGAGGGGTGACTATAATTCTATAACTTTTCTACAGAAATAAGTTCATCCTCCTAGAAAAACATGGCACATAGATTTCTTTTCACACCATTGAGACTCGTCCTATTATTGGCTCCATGACCCCACATTATTTTAACAGTGGCAGGTCCAATGGAAATGGCAATAAGGAAAAGCTGTTTTTAAGAGATCAGGATGCCGTTTTCATGAATCAGAAAACCTCTTCGACTTCTTTCACGTGAAAACCTCTTAAAGCAGGGGCGTCAAACTCAAGTCCCGGGGGCCAGATTCGGACCACGGGGTGCTTAGATCTGCCTCACGGGGCCGCCCTCCTGCCAACAGCAAAGGACCGGCCCGTGGTGCTTCTGCCAGCGAAAACTGGCTCCCGAGCTCTGTTTTTGCTGGCAGAGGGTTGCAGGAGGTTGTCATAACCAAAAATGGAGCTCGGGAGCCCGTTTTCACTGGCAGAAGTGCTCAGGTCGCCATTGGCACCCCAACACAAGTGATGTGGCCATGCCCCCCCTGGCCACGCCCCCCCCGAAGGTCAAACACAACCCTGATGCAGCCCTCAATGAAATGGAGTTTGACACCCCTGCTCTAAAGAAAAGCCCAGCTATATGTTGTGAACTTTCTTTCACAAATAAGGATGTGGGGAAGGCAAGTGGGATATGTGTAGAATTAAACACTTGGCACAGACACCTCACCTTCTCAGAAGTTACTTTTCAATGGGAAAGAAAGGCTTGAATGAATTTAAATTTCTGTGACCAGTAGTGTTAGAACGTGCTTCTAGTACTCTAGGAATATGGTAGTTTTTGAGGTGAGCCGGGGGGGTGGCGACCATGACAAAGGATAGAGTGATTCAACTTTGAATCATAGAGTTGAAAGGGACCTTGAAGGACCTCTAGTCCAACCCCCTGCCCAAGGCAGACCTTATTGCATCCCAGGCAAAATGGTTGTCTAAACTTTCCTTAAAGACCTCCAGCAATGGAACCACCCACAATTCCGGTAGGCCACTAATCAATTGTTCTCACCTTCCGGAAATTTCTCCTTTGTTCCAGATTGGATCTCCCTTAACAAGCTTCCACTCACTGCTTCTTGTCCTGCCCTCAGGGGCTTTAGAGATTTAAGTGGATCTCGCCCTTCTCAGGGTTAGGGCTAGACAGGCTAAACAGGCTGGACAAGTTAGATCCTAATTCCTTTAAGCATTCCTCATATAGTTTAGCCTCTAGTCCTCTTACCATCTTCGTTGGTCGTCTTTGCACTCTTTATAGGGCCACAACCTTTTTTTTGTGTTGTGGTGCATAGAATTGGACGTTGCATTTCAAGCGGGTCTCAGTAATACAGTATATAGTAATACAGTATATAATCTTGGTGCTGTGACCTTCCATTGACGCAGCCTAATTACTGTGCTCTCACAGTTGCTACTATTGAAGCAAGTTCCACCCGTTCTGTAACTATGCATTTGGTTTTTCCCAATCCTAAACAACGCTTGAAAGGGGCTCGTTTTTTTAACTATTACTTAGGTAAATCCTGAACTATTACTTAAATGTTATTAAAAGGCAACTGGGTCTGACAATTCAGTTACAGTTTTCAAAAAAGCAAAACCACATCTGTGAAATCTTATCGGACGAGGTTTTATTTTAACACAGGGACTCAACCCTCTGGCCATCAAAGCAGCACAGGCACTATAGACCGGCATTTGTTTTCCCCCATCGAAGTCAATAGGGAGAGTTGTCGAGGCTCTTGAAGGATTCAAAATCTAGGTCGTTTCTGATCCTGGGACCTTCAAGACAGTTGTGGGGGCAACCCTCCTCAGATTTTCTAGTCTTCCCTGCCACCCTTGAAAATAAAATCCGACGGGCAGTTAGCCTAATTATTTTTCTTCCTACCACCCGCTGTGGATTTAAATTTTTGTCCGAAGCACGAGCATTGAAAAAGACCAGTTCCTTTTCCATCCGTCTAGAAATGCAAGGGACTCCAGTGTTTGCGAGAGACGGGTATTTAAGGCTGGAGACAGCTCTTTCTCGACCTGGACAACTTTAAGATGTGTGGACTTTTTGAGTTTGCTGGAGAATTCCGGGAGTTGAAGTCCATACATCTTAAAAGTTGCCCAGGTTGAGAAACACGGTCTAGAATCATTAGCACGATCAACTAATGCCAAAAAAAAGAAGCCACGAGTAGCACCAGCCAAATCCTGGGTGCCGCTTGTATTTGCCCTTTCTTCCTCTCCTTCCACCCCACTCAGTTCTTTCAGATTGAAGTTGCTGTTGTTGTTGAGGAAGAAAAATAACAGTATAGATACCAAGTCAGCAAGAGGTATTCAAGCCGGAAACGTTTATCAAAACCTGAATGCTACAAAGCAGAAATTTCAAATGTTACGTTTATTCAGTTAAAAACTGACACGTGGCAATAAGGATCACATGAACACTAAGGAGCCATATCTACAGTTCCCGATGTCAGATCATGAAAATCACACACAGGTTTTCCTACATATACAAATCTAATGCCAAATTTTAAAAAGGCAAAACCAAGACAATGTGAAATCAACACTGAAAAGTATATCCAATTAGACAATTTAAAAAATAAATACTTTTTAAGAATAAAAAACACTTTCAAAGCAGCTGTGTCTTTAAGAACACCCCCCCCACCCCACCCCAAAGTCTTCCATAGATTGTGATTGTCTCCTAGTGCAGCACCTCAGTTAAGAGCTGGGATCTGTATATCAGGCAACACAGTATTTTGTTCATACACAGTGTTTCATTTTGCTTTGTGTGTGTGTTACTGGCAGGTACAATATCTCTATAAGCAATACGGCCGGCCGGTCATGCTGCTGGCAATACCCATGCAGATGAGAAAGCATGAAGCGTAGCAACACAGACTGTAAAGTACTTGTTTA